ACCGAGAGAGACCGCAAGCTATTGAATTTCTGCTTAATCTGGTCTTGTAGTACAGTGGTGGTAGCAGTTATTGTTACCACAGTTGATCTGTACCACGTGTGGGGATCTTTCAACGTAATACAAAGGATTATTTATTCAAATTATTTAAAATAACTAGAAATTAATTTTATTGTTACTTTTCTGGTGCTACTACATGAGTTTCCATTTCATTTTTCAACGATAGATATATAAGAATCGGAATTCAAACATTCAGGTTCAGTAATGTTTTTTTGAAGCTTTCTTTTAGGTTATAAAAATATAAGAATTCTACGATGGGATTTATTTTATAAAGTATATGGTTTATATTTGATATATATATATATCGAATAAATCGGCTTCAAAAAACGTTACATTGGATTTTTTTTAAGGGATCTCATGAGACCTTTTATTTTTTATCAGGATCTGATGTATTGTCTTGCCACTCTTCTCTGTGATGCCATTATTAACGCTAAATTCTTCACCTTCATGTTCAATCGTCAGCAGTACCAGGGCCTTCTGCGAATGGCGAGGGATACGTTGTGGTCGGGTTTTGACACGGAATACGGAAGGAAAGTATTGAAACAATGCGAAAATCAGGCAATGTTCTTTGTCATCGCATTCGCAACGTTCACTCAATGCTCTGGAATCCTATATTCTCTGGAACCCATTCTACGTGAGTAGCAAACAAAAATTTCCACTGGAATTAATTTTCACTATCTCAATTTCTAATGCCATTTTTTGTAGTGAATATCCAGAATAATAGTACAGACGTAAAGGAACGTCTTTTTCCTCTCAAAATGTGGTTTGACCTTCCGATCTACGAGAGCCCGAATTTCGAGATTTGGTTCCTCATAGAGGTATTTACTGATTACTTAAAAACCTGAAGTACTATTAAAATATCACGAAAACTTTCAGATGTTTGTGATTTACCATTCCTGCATACTGTACTTCTGCTTCGACAATTACCTAATTCTCGTGAATATACTAATGACTGGACAATTTTCACTCCTAAGAAATCGGCTGGAGACACTTTACAACAGAGAAGTCATTGAATCAATCACAAGTACTGGCCATCTCGACGAGAAGACCAATAAAGACTCCCTGATCTTGCTCTCTCGAGAGTTCAAGAGCTGCGTCAAATAGCATCAATTTCTGATAGCGTTTGTGGATCAGGTAGAGAACGTTTACACACTCATGAACCTGATCTCGGTGTTGATATTCAGTGTCATCATCTGTCTGGCGGGTTATCAACTCATAATGGTGCGTATTCGGTGGATAGAGAGAGAATCCCCTATTCAAATATGTTTTACCCCAAGCCAGGAAATACGATCATTAGACGAATCAAGTTTGTATCCTTCATATCAGGATGCCTGGCACAACTCCTGTCATTCTCACTCACCTGCAACAATGTTTCCGTCAGTAGTGCAGATCTGAGTGATGGCCCCTACAACTCAGCTTGGTACACCAAGAATTGTTCATCAAGGGGTCGATCACTGACCAAAGATTTTATGATAATGATCATAAGGGCCCAACGTCCCTGTTATTTTACAGGAGCTGGATTCTTTCCTGTCACACTGGACACCCTGAAATCAGTAAGCACTTCAATAAAGCTATCATTACTTCACATCATTCACGAACTTCTGCTACTTTAGGTCCTGACGACTGCATTCTCGTATTTAACACTGATAAGGCAATCTACTCTATAATCCAAATAACCATGACTGACTTTTGTAACTAGTGTAACAGCAGTCTAAATAAATTGCACATTTGTCTCTATGAAAATCTTCATTGATTCTTCAAGTATTTTAACACATATGTGTACAATCTAACTTCTCCAATGTATGGTAGAAGACTGAGTAGTTCTTCCCTTCCATCAACCAAAGTTGCCCGGTAATCGATGGTAAATAGAGGGGGCCGAAATTTTTGTCCGATCACGCGATCCAGGGCCATTACGTGAAACTGGTCTGACGAGAGGTGCCATTCATATGAAGTGACAGGAAAATTGCTTCGCACACAAATCCCTCAGACTCGATGACGCCGACACCAGGAGACTCTTGGGCAGTGACGTTGACGGCTGCTTTCATCAGGTGCTGTGGGTTCTGGGCAGAAGATACTGAGTTTGGAAAAAAAGTGATGGATATTATCGTGAAGTATTCCGTTGTTGCTATTTTATGGGCTTCCGCTGTTACTGTCAGTGATTTGTATCACTGTTACGGTGATGTTGATGTGAGTCAGGCAAACACCTACCGATTCATCAACTGCTATTGATGTTAAATTGATGACAACTTTCTAGAAATTTACCTATTGCGGTCTCAATGTCCTTACAGTTGGTTTCGGATCCTACAAGCTTGTGGCATTCTACATGAAGCGAAAAATGTTTTTGGATTTGATTTACTACGCGAAGAAACACTTCTGGTTTTGTCATTATGATGAGTATGGCGCTGAGATGATGAGGAAATGTATGAGAAGATGTGTGGGGATTATTCTGTTTGGAGTGTCCATGTCTCATTTGACTATCATAATTTATTATATCAAGCCTCTGATAGGTAAGCCACAATATGTGGAAATATCAGTATTGTATAAATAATCATTGGCTATTTCAGCAAACCAAGGAAAAGATGAGAAGGACAGGGTTCTTCCCTTTCAACTTTGGGTGGACTTACCAATCACGTTGACCCCATGGTATGAGATCTTGTACATTATCGAGGTATTAACCATCAAAAATTGTCGACAATTCCTGCCCTAAAGAAGACGTGTCTTCCCAGATGTTCTCAGGTTGGCACTGCTGCATATGCTACTTCTGCTTTGACAATTTCATCTGCCAAATCAACATCACCCTCGTCGGCCAGTTCATAATTCTCCAGAAGGAATTGCGGGAGCTTTATGATCATCGCGTTGCCCTACTCTCCGAAGACGAGAGTTACATTCGTCGCAAATTAGCCCAGTGCGTCGAGAAACACCAACAGTTGATAGATTTTACAAAGAGGGTAAATGAACTTTATCGGAACGTCATCCTCGGCGTCGTCGTACTCCTCAGTTTGCTGATATGTCTCGAACTGTTTCAGTTGATGACGGTAAGTCATTCACCCATAAAAATTCAAATTCTACCGATCTTTTCTGCTGTTTTACTCCAGACAGTTGGCGAGACTCTCACTAAAATTCATTACTGCGTTTACGCCTGCGGAAGTATAACTCAGCTCTACTTTTTCACACTCACCTGCAATGATCTGACAGAAGCTAGCCTAGCGATATCCGACGCAGCCTACGACGTCCAGTGGTTCCTCATGAAATCCAAGACCAGGCGGAATGCTCTGATGAAGGACCTGCAGCTCGTCATCATGAGATCACAGAAAATTAACAGCTTGTATGTCGGTGGATTTTCACCTGTCACTCTCATGACATTCACATCTGTAAGTTCCCTTAGCCTGTAACGTCGAAACTCTATACCAAATTACAAACAATTTTTGCAGATCTGCAACAGAGCCTTCTCATTCTTGACTCTCATGAGACAGAACCTTGATAAGTGAGAATATCTCTAAACCAATATAGATACTTGCATATTTGTAGTGATCCCATGGCAATCTTCCTTCAAAGAGCTATAATAAACAATTGATTCCATTAAATATCGTCTTTTCATTCCTTTCACTTCCTTCAAAAGAAGAACATAGCGAATGCATAAATATAAAGTTATCAGAATCTCCGACAATGAAAAGCTGGTGAAGCACTAAGACGTAATGTTCTAAGACACAAGGGTGTGCGTGCTGAAGACACGTTGAAGTCATCAGTTGTCAGGTGAAATTTTAATGAGTTCTGCGAAACCCTCTGGGGGGTGGAAGCCAGTCGGACTTTTGACGATCAGTCACTCTAACCAGAGGCCATGGAGTCTACAGGAAGTCGAGCCCTCCCTGTCCGAATAACATTTTTCTTTTTATTCATCGCTGGTTTTGGGATAGCGGAAACCGAGCGGCACCGAAAGCTACTGGATATCTGCTTGATCTGGTCATGCTGTGCGCTGCTGATAGCAATCATCATTGTAACCGTTGATCTCTATCACGTTTGGGGATCGTTCAACGTAATGCTGAGTATCAATGATCAAATTCCCGGAATCAATGTCATAAGACAATTTTTTTAATCAGGATGTGATGTACTGTCTAGTCGCTATTATTTGTGACACAATCAACAACGCCAAGTTCTTCACCTTCATGCTCAAGCGGAAGGAGTACCATAATCTTCTGAGAATGGCGAGGGACACGCTGTGGGCAGGATTTGAGACTGAATATGGGAGGAAGGTTTTGAAAGATTGTGAAAACCAGGCGATGATTTTCGTTATTGTATTCGCTACCTTCGCACAATGCTCCGGTATCCTCTATCTATTGGAACCGATTTTACGTGAGTAACAAGTACTTACCTCTGATTTACCATTGAAGTAGTAAAACTAATTACTTCCAGTGAATATACAGAATAATAGTACAGACGTGAAGGAACGGCTGTTTCCATTTAAAATTTGGTTTGACCTGCCAATCTACGAGAGTCCAAATTTTGAGATTTGGTTTCTCATGGAGGTATCGTATATTCATCGAAGAACTCAATGATCTTGTTGAAATATTGAGAAACCTTTCAGATGTTTGTGGTTTATCACGCCTGCATATTGTACTTCTGCTTCGACAATTATCTCATTCTCGTCAACATCTTCATAACTGGACAATTTTCAATCCTCAAGAACCGCCTAGAGGTTCTCTACAACAAAAAAAACATCCAGTCAATCACTAGTTGCTGCAGAGACGTGAAGATTCATGAAGACGACTCCCTGATCTCCATTTCTCAAGAGTTCAAGAGCTGCATCAGACAGCATCAATTGCTGATTGGTTTTGTAGATCAGGTGGAAAGCGTTTACACACTCATGAATTTGATTTCAGTCCTGCTGTACAGTGGAATGATCTGTCTGTCTGGCTATCAGCTTATAGTGGTACGTATCTTGCAATCTCTCTGATCAATCTCTGATTTAATTTCTTTCACCTCAAGCCAGGAAATACGCTGATGCGACGAATCAAGTTTGTAGCCTTCACCTTAGGATGTCTGACGCAACTCCTCTCATTCTCATTCACCTGCAACAATGTTTCCGTCAGCAGTGTTGATCTGAGTGATGGGCCCTACAACTCAGTTTGGTACACCAAAAATTATTTGTCCAAAGGTCGATCGCAGACGAAAGACTTCATAATAGTAATCATGAGATCCCAGCGTCCCTGTTATTTCACAGGAGCTGGCTTCTTCCCAGTCACCCTGGACACCCTGAAATCAGTATGTACTCCATCAAATATACCAAACCTTCATTCATGGACTTCTCTTCTAGGTTCTCACGACTGCTTTCTCATATTTAACACTGATAAGACAGTCTGCCCAATAATCGCCAAATAATCATCCATCAACTGATGTACATGATTAAACAATAAAAACAATAAAATTAATAGCAAATCCAGTTCCTTTGTTTCACAAAAAAAATCATTGCCTTCCTCACCAGCACTTACCTCTGGACGATCCGCACCCATCTCTAGCTAGATATGAACTGAATCCAATAGAATAAAGTTGCAATTCCACCTTCATAAAGTGCGTGGGAACATCACCTGGGTTTCTATGGATATCTGACAGTCTGAGGTACTTATCTATTATTAACACTCAACAGAGGGAGAGTGAATTTTTCACCCTCTTTACTGTCACTCACTCTTCACTGATGACATGACGTTCGATCGACAGGAGATATTGCCAGTGAGAATCACGTATTCCTTGCTGTTTCTCGCTGGCTTTGGTACACCAACCACTGACCAGGAACGTAGGACACTTACAATATTGCTGATCTACACATTGTGGACTATATTTTTCGGTGGAATTCTCATTTTCATCGATGCGTACTACGTATGGGGATCATTTGAAGTAACGTAACCTTCAAATCATTATTATATCTGATGAAGATCTGATTCTTTCTATGTTCTTTAATAGGAGATGCTGTATACAGCAGTTAATATAATGACAGTCTTGATATGCGGCATTAAGTTCATCTCGACTGTACTTCAACGGACTCGGTATGAGAATTTTCTTCGACTTGCTAGAGAGTCGCTGTGGAAACAAGCTGAGAGTGATGATGATAAGAAAGTTATGGAGAAATGTACAAAGCAGGCTTTGATTTTTGTTTGTGCTTTTGTCATGCTCGCTGGTGGTTCGGGTGTTTTGTACATTCTCGAAGCGATTTACTGTGAGTTATTTCAAATTAAAGACGATTGGTTGCGGTAATTGGTTGGTCGTTGCAGATAATTTGGTCAATGACATCACGAACTTCACGAGCGTCAGGGAGAGGGCATTCATCATGAAGCTTTGGTGCGACTGGCCCTTCTACGAGGCACCCAAATTTCATCTGATGTTCCTCGTGCAGGTATGAACCTATATCCAAAATAAAGATTAATTTTTAAAATCATTATTTCAGTCCTTCATTCGAGAAGACTATGAATCTTATTTTGAAGAAGGGTAAAAACTTAATTTAAGATTTGGAAAGCTTCATTTAGGATTGGTCGTTGTATTAATTGAAGGCGCTTTTCTGTTTGACAAATTCCCAGAAATCAAAATATGTTCCGAAAATTTGAAGATCTTGAATGAAGTTTGAATGAATCTCAAGTTGAGTTGTGAAAGGTTTAATTTAAGTTTAATTAAATTTTTTGTATCATGATTTGAAGTTTTTGACAATCTTTCAGAATTTTTTTTGGTGTACCGTGTGTTCTATCGAATTTTTAATTATTCATTTGGGTGATTGCAGTCATTTACTATCATGCATTACGGCCTGCTGTACTGCTGCTTCGAGAATTTTCTCGTGCTGACGAACATCTTCCTCACGGGGCAATTCACTATCCTGAAATACAGACTGGAAGTACTAAACAGCGAACTGACGACAGGTCGTATAGACGATGGACGTGTTGGTTCTTCGAAGGATTCTCTTAATACCATGTCCCAAGAGTTCAAGAATTGCATCAAACAGCATCAGTTCCTGATAAAAGCCACACAACAGCTTGAAGAGTTGTATACCCTAAAGAATTTAGCGTCAATTATGGCGTACAGTTCCATGATATGCCTATCAGGTTATCAAACAATGACGGTATGATTTAAAAATCCACTTGAATGTTTCAGAAATTTCAAGGTATCATGACATTCCTTTGTTTGAAGCCCGGGAATCCTCTGGTGAGAAAAATAAAGTACGGGATATACGTCACCGGATGCCTCAGCCAATTGTTCTGTTTCACATTCACCTGCGACGAACTGTCTCTAGGAAGTGTGAGTGTCAGCGATGGGCCCTACAATTCTGGATGGTACGGTGGTAATTGGTCGGAGAAGGGTCGATCACTCACGAAAGATTTGTCGATAATGATCATGAGGGCCCAGCGTCCCTGTCGTCTGACCGCTGGTGGTTTTTTTAATGTCACCCTTAATATACTGAAATCGGTAAGTTCTTTTAAAATGACATTGTACAGAATTATTCAGCACTCGAATTTTTATCCATCAATCTGTGCTCCAGGTATTAACTACTGCCTTTTCATATCTAACGTTGATAAGACAATCAGCCAAGTGACTGCTTTCGACTATTCTAATTGGAAAATTCGGATAACTTACCGCTCACCGCCTGATGATTCATTATTCCTTTATTCCCCAAATCGACAGGTTGCGATTACAACTGGTTCTTAAATTTCTATCCTCGGGGACACGAATTCTACGAAATAAGAACATCGGGGAATCCCCGCTCTTCCGTTTGAGGTGGAGCTGCAGGAGGGGGGAACAGAGAGAAATAATCTGTTTCCCTCGAATATAACCTAGAATTTTTTAAAACAGATTTCAGAAAAAAGTATTGCAAAAATGATAATTTCGTTTGATCATTTCTTTTGCATTTATTAAATACAAGAGAATCGACCAGAAATATTTAAATTCAATTTAATCTTAAATGCAATCCACAAAATGATTGGAAAATATTTTCCACTGAAATTATGCCGGCAGTATCTACTGCGCATATCCGGTGCGCAAAGGCCCACGTTTGGGCCCAACCCATTTCGATGATGCGGAAAATTAATTTTTCCCCTGAAATTCTAGAGAAGTGAAATGTGATAAATTAATCAAGAGAATTTCTAATTTTTGTAATGAGACCTAGACATTGAAATCGGTGAGTAAAAAATCAGCAGTTGAATTATGATTTATAACTGATTGGTCCATTCCTCCACAGGTTGATCGATAAAATTCGACTGTTGATGTGACGAAACGATAAACTAATGCGCATAAAGACAACTAACAAAATCTGAAGTCAAACCAAATTTCTTCTGCCTTGCCAGAAATTCTGTGAAAATTCCTTAAAGTAAATGACGTAATACTCACAACAATTCAATAATGGACTTGATTATTAATTAACAATTTCACCCAGCAGCACTTTCCCAATTGTTTATTCGGCTTGTGAACTTTTTCGAATGGCGTGCTAAATAGGAATGACGGATTACCTGTACATCCGTGATGCGTGGAACTAAAAAAAAAATGAGTAGACGACAAGTCAGAGTGGTTAGAAATCTATTATTAAATTCCACCTCGAGAGAGAATAAATTTTCCACCCTCAGACTGTCACTCACTTTTAAACGACGACACGATGGCTGACAGGAGGGAAATAGCACCAGCTCGAATCTCATATTTTATCTTATCCCTAGTTGGTTTTGGCGTAGCAGACACTGACCCGCAGCGGAGAGCATCGAACCTGTTGATATTGTACACTATCTTGATCATCATCCTGGCTACTTTGACCATCGGCAGCGATTTGTATTACCAATGGGGAAATTTCGATGTGACGCATCACTGAAATCATTCGTTAATTTATACTCATTGATTTTTTTCTCCGCAGGCAATGACCTACTCAGGTATTACCATGCTGACTATTTTGATAATAACAATAAAGTTTTACGCAGCACTGGTGAATCGCACTTGGTATGAGAATCTTCTACGACTGGCACCGCAGGCATTGTGGGGAGATGTGGAGACTGATTACGATAAGGGAGTGATGAAGAAATGTGAAAAACAGGCTATGATTTTTGTATGTGCTTTTGCTTCGCTCGCCGGTAGTTCTGGTTGCCTCTACATCTCTGAACCTATTATCTGTAAGTCATATTATGTGAATATAATACCAAAGGGGTAGACAGCGAGACGTTTCTTTTTTCATAACAATTTTTTTTTGCACTAACATTGTTGGGTGAGGAACTGGAGTAGTTGAGTGGCTCCAGGAATTCTGTCAGGTGATCAGGAGATGATGATGGTCCGATGAAATTGTACCGGGAAAATGCTAGGGATTTTAGTCAAGTCTCTTAACACGTTGATTAACTGAACTGATAATTTACTAGATAATTAACTGATGCTGACTGCTGAGAAAATGATAAATGCTATTGATGACTGACTGTCCAAACTCTAGGTTACTAAAACGTTGGAACGACTACTACAAAAACTTTCGTTCTCTGCGGACATCTAAAAGAATACTGATATCATTTATTTTGTTTGAATTTTTTTTTACTTTTCACTTGAATTGAATTTTCTGAATTGAATCAATTAATTAATGAGAGTATATTTATTATTATTTCAGTTAATATCCTGAATAATATTACGATACCAAAGGACCGAACGCTGATCTTCAAGATTTGGCAGGACTGGCCAGTCTACGAGACACCGAATTACGAGATCATATTCTTCATTCAGGTATTCCAAATGTCTCCATCCCACACCTGATGCTGCATCACCCTCTCAAGTGTTCTCGAAATTTCAGGCACTCATCACCACTCACTTGTGTGTTTTGTACTCTTGTTTCGAGAGTTTTCTCGTGCTCATCAATACCTTCATCACCGGTCATTTCACGATTCTGAAAAACAGAATGGAATTTCTGTACAGTCACCAAATCATAACAAGAATGAGAAGGAATAGCGTGGAAGAAGCAGAGAAGGATTCTCTAGCCGACGTTTCCCGAGAGTTCAGGAGCTGCATTAGAAAGCATCAATTTTTGATCGAGGTGATAGATCAGGTGGAAGGATTGTACGCGATAATGAATCTGGCTTCAGTCATGGTTCACAGTATCATAATCTGCCTGTGCGGTTATCAAACAATCATGGTATGACTGTCTAGATTATTTTCGTTATCCGAATAGTCAAATGTCTTTGTTTAAAGCCAGGCAATCCCATATTGAGACGCATAAAGTTTGGTATCTACGTAACCGGATGTCTCAGCCAACTCTTCTTCTTTGCATTCACCTGTAACAATCTCACGTTGGGCAGTATGAGCGTCTCTGATGGGCCCTACAACTCCAGCTGGTACAGTGGACAGTCCTCTCAGAAAGGTCGATCACTCACGAAAGATTATGTAATCATGATCATGAGGGCCCAACGCCCATGTCGCCTGACAGGCGCTGGTTTCTTCGACATCACACTGGACACAGTTAAATCGGTGAGAGTCTCATTGCCAATAATTCAATTCCAAACATCTAGTTCTCACTTCATCACTTTCTAACATTCAGGTAATAACCACTGCCTTCTCATATCTAACGTTGATAAGACAATCGGCGAGCTAATCATTCATGGAAGACTGATTAATGTTGTTCATGTTATGTCCAAATGAATAAAAATGTCTGATAAGTTCTCACGTTTGTGGTCATCTCGTTTATTGAACCCGACAAAATCAGTCCACCACAGAATTCCCTCAAGTTTACCGAGGTGAAAAAAAAAATTGAGAAATATAATGGCAAGTGATGGACTGTCGTGTGCATTATTAAAGGGTCATTTCCTATGCACATCGTGAAGAAATGGAAAAATGCTATACTTTGGCTGTCAGTCACTGTTCACTGCAGACATGAAGTCTGGCCCGGGGGCTAGCCCGCCCACAATAATTTCACTGCAATCCCAATTCAAGACCCGTCAGTTCGACACCGTTCCTCTCCGTTTGTACGAATAATGCAATTCATTCCTCTAAAGTGTGAAATAATCCGTTGATAGAGTTCTTACGGATTGATATTATTTCAATAATGAGAATAAGACGTGCCAGTGGAAAAGATCGTGTGATCATGTCGCAGAATGCAGTGGAGACTCTGCCGATTCGACTGACAAAATTTTTTCTCAGTGCAGCTGGTTTCACTATAGCTACCACCAGACGTGAAAAAATACTCGTTGATGTTATCGTGACTTATTCGACAATAGCCCTTGCATTCGCCTGTTTTGTCACTGGTGTTGATATTTACAACTGCTGGGGTTCATTCTACGTGAGTTATGGCCTCCATTAATGATAAATTCCGCAATTTCGTTGGGATGCTATTTTTTATCTCAGGAATTTGTGTACTCGTTCATCGGTTTTGGCACGTGCTGCATCGTCCAATCGAAATTCGCGGTGTTCATGGTGAAGAGGAAGAAGTACCTGAACCTGATGAGGTACACCAGTGATATTCTGTGGACTAGGCATCACACGGAGTATGGAAAGGGTGTCATCAAGGATTGTGAGAGGCAGGCCATGTACTTCATTGTTTTGTTCACTTTTCTGGCGCAAGGGGTCAGCCTGTGCTACACTGTTCAGCCAATTTTACGTGAGTTGTCGGGATTTTGTGAATATTCTTTTGCGAAGCTATTTCTTCATGAAATTTAATTTACTCTTGATTTTCATTTAAGTTAATATTGGGAGAAATGAGACTGATAGACTTTTTCCGTTTACATTCTGGGTGGATCTGCCAATTTATGTGTCACCCTGGTTTGAAATAGCATTCGTAGTGCAGGTGAATATTAATCATAAAAATGTTTCGAGTATATCTGTTGAAAGTAATTATACTCTTCAGGTTCTGAGTTGCTATCACACCTCAATCTGTTACTTCTGTTTCGATAATTACCTGGCCCTCACCAATATATTCATCACAGGACAGTTTAAAATTTTGAAGAACAGACTGGAGGTACTGTTCGATGCTGATCATGTGAATCTGCAAGAACCGGAAGGCAATAGGAGAACGAGTTGGTACTTGACGAAGAGCAGACGAATGAACAGACTCGTTCATGAATACAAATTATGTATCAAACAGCATCAGCTTCTGATTGATCTCGTTGACCAAGTGGAGGACTTATACTCATTCATAAATCTTCTTCAAGTACTTGTGTTTAGTTTTCTCATTTGCTTGGTTGGATATCAACTTATTCTGGTATTCATAACATATGCGGTATATGTGGTATTAATCTGAAATAATATTCATTGGAAATGATGAAGTTGGTTGTTCTAGCCTGGGAATTCACAGATGAGACGCATTCTTTTTATCGTGTACTTCGGTGGATGTTTTACACAACTCTTCACGTTCGCCTTCACGTGCAATAATTTGACCCTCGCTAGTCTGGACGTTGGTGAGGGTCCATGGCATTCAAAATGGACAACTGAGACTCGTTGGAGAGAGGGTCGAGCCATCGTCCAGGATTTACAGATGATCATCATGAGGGCGCGACGACCATGCAGACTTACTGCTTATGGCTTTTTCCCTGTAACTCTGAATACTTTCAAATCGGTAGTGTAAATCCGATAGCGATTCATTCAAATGATCAAATAACTGCAAGCATGAATAGTTGAAAGAAATTCTTATTTTCAGATGCTGAGCACTGCATTCTCGTACCTAACCTTGATGAGAAACAGTGAAGAAGATATTCAGGGTTGAACTTGAGGATTATTAAGGAAAATTAATTAAGTATAATTTCCTGGGAAATGTTTAACAGGAAGATGATTGGAAGCGTGTTACGTTTAAATTTTTCATGATATATAAAAATCTGTGATGATTGTGAGTATTCATACCTGTGTGCAATAATAATCCATTGTGTTCATGAGGTATCAGACATTCACCGAAAGGAAAATCCTTGGAATTTTTCACTCAGCAAATTGAAGATTTCATCTCAGTTATCACGTAATTTCCCAAGTAGATGAACAAACTGTTTGAAACTCTCTAGACCACTTGTCTGCATAAAATCCTCTCTAATGTATTCACTAGCGATACGTGACAGCATAGAAAATTCTCGTATCTCAATTTCACGGGATCTCTCCAGAAAATAAAATATATTCAAGAAAAATGAGTGAGATACATTTGCTGACTTGAGAAAGAATAGAAAGTGATAATCAAAATGATTCATTTTTTCACGTCAGTCTGATCCATGGTTTCCCTGAAATTTACAAGAAACAAAAAATGGAAAGATATCGGAAATAATTCTTTAACGAATATTCACACTTCTGAAACGAAATAATTAATTAATTGTGAATTGATAGAAAAAATAGGACAAAATGCTGAGACCCAGATTTATCCATTTCATATCAAATACCAAATGCGAGAATCGGTGAAAATCCAGTAGTTAAACTGGAGTATGACAATCCTGAATGGAACGGAAAGTGCAGTTGGAACACCTTGAGACTTCTCACCTGCATAAAACATGTTCCTCGTGGATTTTCGCATGGTACGTGCCGACACATAAAATTATCTCCGTGTTTTACGGATCTGGTAGATGTTGACGAGATGCCGTGAGGAGGATGTTAGAAATGAATGTCAACATGAGTAATCCACGATTTCACCATAAACATTTTTTTATTTACATCTAACTTCCCCGAGTCTCCAAAAGCTTCACTGTGCCCTATGATATACGCAAAATCAACATTTGGTTGAAGAAACATGTGACTTTTGGGAAAAAATATTTTTTCAGCCGAAAGTTTTGCATCCGAGCCTTGGGGTGATTATGAAAAATATTTTTTTTATTTTAGCGATAATAATTCGTAATCTAGACGGGATTAAAATTGAATTAATTGTTTTACAGATTTATCAACTGCTAAATATCGTGAGAGGAATCTTTCCAGTAGGTGATAAGAGTAACGAAACGTTCAGACTGGCAGATGGTACTATCCGACTGTCGATAACGTCCGTTCCGTCAGCACCAGCAATCGATATCTTAACCTCTTCGACAATCAATGATTGCACTCATTCAAATACGTGACATGAAAAATTCCCCGCATGCTCAATTAGTGATGTTATTCATTCAAAGGTAAATAACTCAAGCATAAAGGTTAAATTGGGAGAACTTGAAAATTGATCAGCATTCCCTTCATATTTATTCTATTAATTAGCATACGAGTCTGTTTTCATGTTTACTAACTCATCTACTGATTACATTCTACATTGAAGCGAGACGGTTAGAACTGAAGGAGAATTAAAGACAGTATTGATCACTGGTGGTGCCATTCCGCGGACGAACATTAAAATAAAATGTGGGAGTGATACGTTGGAGGTCAGCGGTATTTCATTCTGCACTCGTACCGGCTATAATGTTTTTAAGTATTTCAACGCCCTCGGCATTGGCAGTATCGTAACCAGGTGCAGTGCTCTTCACTCTTTCAAGCCATTCAGCTACATTACTGTATTCCTCGAGATCAAATCCAAAGGCCTGCAAATTAAATGACGATATCAAATGCTGAGTTAATTTTTCATTTCCACTGAGGCAGCAGAAAGAAACTGAAATTTCTATTCGAGATAGAAATCCCAACGGTTCCACCAGGATATAAGATCATTGAAGCATCATCAAACATCATTTATTTAATCGATACAAGTGAATCATGTTAGACGGGAAATTATTCAGCAAGATGTTAAATCAAATTTCAAAGAAGTTGTAACGATGGAGTTAGATATTAAAGAGACCATCGGTTTCAATTCTCAATTAATTGATCCTTTGATCATTGATACCGATGGTTCCACCTGGATATAAGATCATTGAAATTTCATCGACCATTATTTGCTTTCAAATTCCGTAATGAATGCTCAAGGGAAAATCATTGATTGAAACCGTCAATTGGTGAATTTCATGTAGTCATGGGCTTACGTATTAACGCGACCATTGGTTTCAATTCTGAATCAATTGGTCATTGATACCAATGGTTCCACCTGGATATAAGATCATTGAAATGTCATCGACAATTATTTGCTTTTGAATACCGTAATTAATGCTCAAAGGAAAATCATTTATCGAAACCGTCAATTGGTGGTTGTCAGGGGAGAGGTTATATTAACGAGATTATATATCACAGGTTAATACGTGTATCGATATCAATTCTGAATCAATCTCCTCTTTTCCATTATCTCTCAATTAATATCGATAAAACTAATTAGCAATTAATACTTCGGCAGTTGTGACGGTTGATAGCAACGAAAGATCAGCAATCGTCATGTCACTTCCAGCAGCCCAATCATTACCCTCCAGCAATTTGTCGAGAATCTGAAATGCCTCCTTCAACTTCTCGTAGTTGCCCTCGTTATATTCAGTTTCTCCCCTGAATACAACTGGATACTGTAAAGTTTCAAGTTTCATTATTTCCACTCCTTGAAATTAAGTACTCCCAAAAGCAGTTACTTGTTTTTGGATCAATGAATTAGCCGTGGGAAAACGATGATTTATTAAACAGAAATATTTTTAGCTTTGCAGGTTGAAAATGCATGAGGAATAGAAGAAGTCAATCCGGAGTCAAGGACTTGCATTGCCAATAAATGTTGGGCAATTAGCATTGATGGATGTAATGAAGACAAGATTAAAAGAATTTCCTACGATTTTCTGTGGAATAAAACTGCACGGCTACATAGATCAAGCATTCTGTATTGATCCCCAGTGCTTCATTAAAAAATCAATGACCCGTTGAAATCGTTGGGAGACCGCAAGTCATAAGTTTTCATCGCGAATGATTTTATTTAAAATTCAATTCGATAACTGAGACAATGTTACAATTAAAAATCCTGACGGGATAAAATTCTCTGCCGCTGGCGTGAGTTCAATACTTTGCTCGAGACAAATCGATTCTAAAATTTAATAATGAGAAATCGAATCTAATAATGAATATCAGTAGATTAACTTGAATATTTCGGTATTCTAGTTCTCAAAAGGGTGAAGTCTCTAGAATTCTCAGAGAAACTTGAAATTCCCCGGACTTTTTCCCCTTAAATCTTCTAAAAACTTTTTTCTGGGAAATCGAGTAAAAACTTTGTAACAGTGAGTGTACCACGAGCGATGAAACTCACGTAGTAGGCCGCAACCCATTTGTAGAGAGTCCCCACATCAAACTGAAGCCGCTGCTGGACAACAGCACGTTCAGAGGCACCAGTGGGATAAAGTCCGGATTCCTCACCATACTGATCCACCAAGTACCCCATAATCGCCCGACTGAAACCCCAAAAAGACCAAATAATCACGTGCGTCAATAAAAACTTGGAATAGAAACGGCGTACCTCTCACCGAGTTTGTAATCATCATCAACGATAAATGGAATACTCTTCAGTGGATTCATCTGAAACGAAAATTAGAGACGGATAAAGGGATGATGAGGGATTGATGTAATGACACGCTAATGGGATTAATTTACTTGCTCATAATCCGGTGTGAATTGTTCTCCATTGAGGATATCTAGGCTCTTGTAATTGAGAGTGAGTCCCAGAGCTTCAGCTGTGAGCATCACAGCACGACAGGGTGCACTGAATGGCTGATAATACAGATCAATGGACATGATACCTTGGGTTATTCTATCGAGTACTGACTGATCGTACGTCTGTCACGTACTGTCACCTGTTCGACTCTAGTGGCTCATCGTTTCACCAGTATGCCAACGGGTCTAGTGTACATCAATCGATATTTCGTTGAAACTCAACTTCACACACCATTCCAAGTTATAAACTTCTCAACCCCCAGCATGTACATCCCCCTTTTTACCTCCCACTCTGTCCTATTTTTATTTGTATACAAGATTTTTGTCTTATCCAATTGTCTATTCACCCCGTGTCGACGCAAAAAATTCGACGCTTTTGTTTCTTATTTTTTGCCGGGGCAGTTTTCACTGGTGTAATTTGACAACAAAGTTGAATAAACTTTGTTGGAAAGTTTTGAAGGGAATTTGGGTGGCGGGCGAGTGAGTGATTGAGGAGGGAATTGATTTTCATGACCTACCGGCTACCTTACAGGGACACCTGATTGGAAAACACAAAGAATCCGAATTTTAGGGTATATTTTTTTATGAGCTGTACTGTTAATTGAATGACGTGAATTGGGAATATCATCGGGTTGAATCATTATCGGTGTTGACTCGGGATGGATTGTGTGCTGGGAGTGTTTGGGAGAAGGTTCAGGGATAATGACATCGACCGGTTGGTAGAATCGGTGAGTACACAAGACCTCCGAGGGTTAATCAATAGAGCCAGCTAGGGGTGGAAATATCTTCGAGTTTATATTGTTCAAGGGAACGGGAAAAATTGATGAGGCAGTTTCTTGACGGATTATCAGGATCCCAAGTCTTGAATTTTCTCTTCGTCATGGACGGGGGATAAAACTTTAGGATAAATTACGTGACCACTCATCTAATCATAAGAAAAAATGGTAATGGGAAAGAATAGCTCTTCCAACAAATTGGTACCTCTCTGTCTAAAGCGTTCACCATGATTTTCTGAATAATAAACTCTAATAAATTTACTGATTAAATGAGTCAATTCTCGGAGAATCGGACGCTCCATGCATTTCGATAATAAATGTACTATTTTCTTACCATAACACAGCGATATCCCTGGAAACTTTCCCTCATTTAGTACCACCAGTGACATCATACACTCCCAAAGTTTCCGCTTGTCACAGGTAAAATCAGAGTGAAACTTCGTCAAAGTCCTCAAATCTCGTCATCGCAGCGCGTTGACTCATAATGGTTCTTACTCATTACCAGCCCTCTCCAATAACTACATAACGATAACGAGAGACAAGAGTTTATACAGAGTCTATCTCCCCAACTCGATCTCCATAAATTGTCTCAGTTCTTTAATCCCCTCACTCCCACTAAATCAATCAATCAATGAATACAAATCGCTTCCCAATTGATTCCCCAAAATTACTCTGAACAATCTAAAAATCACCAATAATTCCCGTCAATACGAATATCTAGTTAACATCACTATTGAATTTACCTTTATACAGCTGCCAATTCGTGGTAACAATGCATCTTCGTATACATGGGAATATTGTGGCCAAAGTGTGCGCGTTCAAATGGAAAATCTAATAGTTAGTGGACCAACCACTGCTCCAGGGAGTTTATACACCCGATGAACGTCATTATAATCGGTGTATGCTTGTAATGGCAATGGCCTAACGGTTATTGTCCACGGGTTTTAATGGTATGGAACTATCAAATTGACGTTAACTGTTGGTCTCATTTGAAAATGGTCCTGCACAATCAGAAAAACATTCGATTGTTACCAATACGAATTCACTCTTACCGTTTTCTAGTGAAAACACTTTAATTTAACCCACATGTGGGTCAAACAGGCCCTTCAACCCTCGCATTTGACCCACAAATAATCAAGGATGAGGTCAACTTGAAACTCCAACTCTTAACGACAAAAAAAATAAATAACCCGCCTCATTTCTTTAATTACAGTATTTATTAATCAAACATTAATTACTCAACGTAATAAAGTTTCAGTAATGGACTCACTGTCCCAAAAGTTCATTTGTGCGCGTGAAAAATCCGGAGATCCATCATTCTGATGGATTAAACGAGACAAGATGAATGAAAGAATCCACCGGAAAAAAAAACAAAAAATGGTGGACGAGAGTTGAAAAAACGGAGAAAGTAATTAATAAGATTCTCTCATTTCTTAGTGAGTCTATCAACGAGCTCTTTGAAATGCTTGACCCCATCGCCATTGGCCTCCTGGTACTTCGGTGCTTCACCTTTAATTTTAGCTGACCACTTGCTGATGTTCTTGAATGGTGTCAGATCGTAAGACAGTGCCTGCAAATACATTTAATTCATCATCTCCTGGGTGAGTAATTAATTATCTTGAATTTCAAGAATTACCTCGATCGTTGTTACAGTTGCGATCAACGATAGGTCAGCTATTGTCAGGTTTTTGCCAGCTGCGTACGTCTGGCCCTCGAGTAATTTTTCCAAGAGACCCAGAGCACCAGTAATTTTCTCGAGTTTCACTGGATCCGCTGGTGCGCCCGCAAATAATTGGGGATACTGCAATTGAATGTTTATGATTTAAAGTTTGTTGATTGTAGCTATTTTCAGGTACCGACGACAATTGGACGATAAAACGAACGAGGGGATAATATACGTAATGCAGGACACATCTAGAAACTTGAGGGGAAACATTCAGCCAATTCCAATAGCTGATAATGGACAATAAGTGGGTATTGTTTTCCAACTGTCCGAGCACTCCCGAATTTACCTGAATTACTTAGTAAATTATAATAGATGTTATTCGACTGTTATCTAATCTAATAAGTTATCGAATAGTCCATCCAGAATTCAATTATTTCCGATGAATTTTTTATAAACCATTAGCAACTCGTGAGATATCTATTGACATCACTTAATTACTCCCAACCAGAGATTTCTCGGGACCCATTGTTTCTCGAGAATTAAATAGGCTGAGTGGTTATTTCGTAAGGATTGGGTGAAATTTTACCGGTTAATTCCTCGGTTATTGTTTCATTGTTTTTAGATACTTGCATAATAATCGGCAATTGCGCTGTAAAGAGTTCCCTGGTCGAAGAAGAGTCTCTGATTGACCAGAGCACGGGCTTTTGCCTCCTTCGGGTAGATCGAGTCATTCTTGGCGTATTGATCCACCAGGTACCCCATAATGGCACGACTACAGAAATATTTCAGATGAATATTTTATGTAATTAGTTTAATCATTGGGTTTAAAGTATTTCAGGTATGCTCACCTCTCCCAGAGTACGAATCCATTGTCATTTATCGTTGGTACCGTGTGTTGAGGGTTTAACTGGAGCATTTCAATTTAATATTCATTCCCGGTAAAATAATTTCTTTCAATTTTTTATAATACTAGCGTATATGGCGCGGT